AAAATGGGTTACTGTGAGCAAGTGCATTCCCAGAGGAGTCCTTTGGGGGGTACACAGCACCATAAGCTTTCCCAGTCTGTGCAGCATATGCCTGCTTCTGATGATGGTGAGACTTATGAAGAGAGGACATAGTGTCCAGTAGAAATGCTAGATCGAAAGCATTTTAAAGAGTCCATTGTAAAGTCTAGAATCCATTCATGTTTCATTAAGCAAATGTTAAGCAACTGGGACTCCCAAAATAAATTTATCCCCCAGGATTGGAAGGGTTGGTGTCAGCTGTGGTAGAAGCTGATTAGCAGTTATAATGGTTATTGGGGTGGAGAAAGGAAGCCACGAAAATAGAAAATATAACACGGGGTATAAATGTTGTTAAAGATAAACTGCTTGGTGAAGGGCATTACAATGGCTTACGAGAACAAATCCAATCTGAGGATATAGTAATTGAACAATGTCGTGTTCCAGCCTTAAGAGTGTGTAATATGGTTTAGGAGCCAGGTAAAACAACCACCTCATTCACTAAGGTAATTCAAGGCCCTGGAGAAGCCTTCACCAACTTATTACAGAGATTGAGTTCAGCAGTAAATAGAGCTGAATGATACCAGACAAGTGTTGATACCAAACTTGTGTTTGAGAATGCAAATACTGAATGTTAAGAGAGCCCTTTGGCTATTAAAAGCAAGAAGAGCACCAATAAATGAATGGATAAGAGAGACAACTGATACTGCCTCTCAGGAGCATCATGCCAGTATCATAGGACAAGCTACAGCCAGAGGTCTTAGTTATCCAAATACCCGGAGCTTTAATTGTGGTGAATTTGGCCATTTACAAAGAAACTATAAGGTTAAATCCCTTAGAGCACAAAATAAGAAGTGCATTAACTATGAGGAATACGGTACATTTACTCATCGAAGGGAATAAACAGATTCTGGCTACAACAGAATGCAAAGGCTCCCAGGGTTTTGTAGCCACTATGGCAAGGGAAAGCATTGGTCTAGGGATTGCAGGTCCAAGAGGGATATACACGGTAACCTCTTGCCATCAGGAAATAAACAGAGGGGCCTGTCCGCTCAAGGTCCCTCAGTAAACAATATGAGCAACAAGCAGTCCTCCTTTGTACAGCCAGGGGGTAACAGGTAGGCAGGAAAACCAAAACTAAGGATTTCAGAGTTGATACACCTACTGAAGGAAACGCAGCTTTGAATCTGGCTACAGATAAACCTCTTTTTTTAAATTTATTACAATTTATTCACTTTGTATCACAGCTATAGCCCTCTCCTGCCTTTCCTTCCAATCCCTCCCTCCCTCCCTTTTCTCTTTCCATGCCCTCACCCAGTCCACTGATAGGGGAGGTCCTCCTCCTCTTCCATCTGATTCTAGTCTATCAGGTCTCATCAGGACTGGCTGCACTGTGTTCCTCTGTGGCCTGGTAAGGCTGCTCCCCACTCAGGGGGGAAGTGATCAAAGAGCCAGCCACTGAGTTCATATTAAAGACAGTCCCTGTTCCCCTTATGAGGGAAACCCCTGGGAAACTGAGCTGCCATGGGCTACATCTGTACAGGTTTCTAGGTTATCTCCATGCATGGCCCTTGGTTGGAGTATCAGTCTCAGAAAAGATTCCTGGGCCCAGATTTTTTGGTTCTGTTGCCCCTTTTTTGGAGTTCCTGTCCCCTCCAGGTCCTTCACCCTATTCCCAAGAGTTGAATGTTACAAACCACTAGTGTTTATGGTACTTTGCTTGAGGGACAGTAGGGATGGTCTTGGGAAGAAGTGGATTAACTTCTCAAGGATTTATTGTACATCCAGATATTGTAGATAGGGATTTCAAGGAAGAAACTAAAATCACTGTCCATGCATAGAACATCAATGGTATTGAGTTTCCAAATTTATAAGAGGGGCCTCTCCTGAAATACCAACAGCCTTGCTCATAAAGTGGCTGTCAAATAGACCTGGGTGGCAAGAGCAGTGGCCGATAACAGAAGAAAAGTTTCAGGCCCCTGAACAACTGGTACAAGAGCAGCTGGAGGCTCAACAGATAGAATGGAATTCTATCTGATAGATGTGTATAGATCTGTATAGATTCTATACAGATAGATGGAATTTCCCTGTGTTTGTTGTAAAAAAGAAATCAGGAAAATGGAGGATGATAATGGATTTAAGAGCAGTGAATAGAGTCATTGAACCAATGGGTCCTTTACAGCCTGGAATTCCTTTTCCTCCTTTGTCACCTAGATCCTGGCCTAGAATAACAATTGATTTAAAGGGTTGCTTTTTCCCAGCACCCTTGCATGAGCGGGATAGGGAAAGGTTTGCTTTCTCAGTACCTGCTCTGATCAGTAGTCTTCCAATAAAGAGATAACACTGGAGGGGGTTATAGCAGGGCATGTTAAATAGTCCAACTTTCAATATTTTGTTTTATAACCATTAGAAACAATTCACAAGCAATTTCTTCAATCTATCACTTATCATTACATGGATGGTAATTTGTTGGCTCATTGTAATGCAGATACCCATGCAAGGAAGATGGAAATGGCAGGTTATAAACCAAACAAAATAAGCAAGGTGATCAAAAGCCAATATTCTTCAGTTCAAAAATCAGAACTGTATGCTATCCTTATGTTATTATTGGATTTCCTGAATCTCTTAATATAATTACCAACTGTCAATATGCAGAAAGAGTTGTTTTGCATTTAATAAACTGCTATTTATTTCTGATAACTCACAAATGACTTTGTTATTTATGTGATTGCAACAGGCCATCAGAAGTCGAAACTATCCATTATATATTACTCATATTCAGGGTCATACAGTTTTGCCAGGTCCATTGGTACAAGCAAATGAGGAAATTGATCCTCTGGAACTGGAATGACCATCAGTTGAGCAGCTACATGGGGAATGGGAATCCAGCCAAATCTTCTGGGAGGCTAGACAGTGCTCTAACCCTCTGAGCCATCTCCCCAGCCCCGTTGGGATAATTTTTATGAACTGATTTCTTTTGTCTTTGAAAGATTCCATTATCTATTTTGTCCTTATTTTTTGTTGTTTATATAAAAGGGCAAATTTGGTCTCTGCTACTCTGTCTTAATAAAAAGTGAAAATTGTTCATTTAAGTTGTACCCAATTGTCTTTTTTTTTTAAATGTGGAAAGTTTCATCAGTCTTGACCTTAATTGTTTTTGTTGTTGATATTACTTAGAAAAATACCTATGCTTGTAAAAATACTGTTTTTTTGTTTTTTGGTTTTTGTTTTTTTTTTTTTTTTAAGGATCTTAATTGTCTTTTGTTGTTGTTGTTGTTTAAACACATATTCCATGTCAGTATTCCACATCCTCAAAATAAGTTTTTGGCCCATGTGGTAGTACATGCCTTTAATTCAAGCACTCAGAAGACAGAAACACATTTCTCTGTGAGTTCAAGGCTACTCTCTCTACATGGTAAGTTCCAGACCAGCCATCGCTACATAGTAAGACCCTGTCTCAAAGTAACATAAATAATTTTTTACATTTCAGCTGTTTTTCCATACAAGCTGTCATGTAGGCCAGGCTGGCTTTGAGTTCTTTATCCCCTGCTTCCAGTCCTCAGTGCTAGGATTTAAAGGCATGAACTATCATGCCTTGCTTTGAAAGTAATGTTTGAGCTGCATGTATAGCTGAACTTGTTGCTCATACTTTGGAGACTGAGGAAGGAGTATTACTGTGAGTTCCAGGCCAGGCTGGGCTACAGAGTAAGAAACTGACTCAAATAAATTAATTGATTTACTGTAATGAATTAAAGCTGTATCTATACAGAACATGTAGTGACTTTTTAAATTTTTAATTATTTCCTAAGTAGGCAGAGTGACCAACCTTTTGATATGTGACAGGACTCTTTCATCTACAAATGTGCCTGACTACATTTATGGCTCTTTGGGAGGCATGCAGCCCCTGGGCCTCGAGTTGGATACTCCCACATCCAGGGTGTATTTATACATACACATTTTCTTTGTATAGCATTTATATTGAACTGAAGTATTGGAGTACTCTAGAAGTGATTTAAAATATACAGGAGAATGTGTATGGCTTATATGCAGCTAGCACACTAGAGGGTCTTCATTTCTGATCTCAGGGATCCCGGTACCAAGTCCCACGAATACTAAGGACTAGCTGTTACTGGTTAAAGGAAAAGTTGGAAACTTGCTAACCTAAAAGGACACATTTGTAATTCCATGACCAAGCACAGTGCACACACATGTGGGTATTTCCACCATGAGCTTTTCTCTAAGACGAGCATATTGGCATCTGCCTTTTAGTGTGATTGTGCCCGAATTTCTCAAGCTCCTTCACAGGCTTCGTACTCATGTTACAAGATGTAACTATTAAGACTGTGTTCTACCAAGTGACTGTTTTAGAGTTGTGTTACCCTTCGAGCTTATGATTTATATTTTAATGTTTGTTCTAGTATTGTAATTTCAGTATTTATAATTTATTTTGGTAATTATTTTTAAACAAGATACATTAAATACAGTTATCAGGCAGGACATTTTTAGAGACTCTTCGCTTTGCTTACTTCTGTATGACTGGGAAGGCAAAGCTGTAAGTAGGCCCTAACAGTGTCCAGTCCAGTACATTTGGCAAAATCTTTTTTGTTTGTTTGTTTGTTTGTTTGTTTGTTTGTTTGTTTTTGGGAGGGGGTTGAGACACTTTCTCTGTGTAGCCTTGGCTGTCCTGGACTTGCTTTGTAGACCAGTCTGGCCTTGAACTCAAAGAGATCTGACTGCCTCTGCCTCCGTGAGTGCTTGGGATTACAGCGTGCACCACCACACCCAGCCATTTAGCAAAATCTTATCCACAGAAATATAAACAGAAAGTACATGCAACAGTTATTAATAGCTTAACTATTTTTTACCATTCATTTAGTTACAAACAGGGACACATTTTTAAGAAGCCCTTATAATCCATATTTTACTGTGTATTAACAAAATATCTCAACTACTTTATAATTGTTCTTTGTGCTTGAATATTTTAGGAAAGTTACCGTTGAAGTCATCTACATCATAATGCAGAATTCTTCATTGGTACCAGCAAAAGATCAAGGTAAGACTATCCGTGCTGCAGAAGATAGCACTGTCCACGTTGAAATAAAGCAGTTTTTCTTGATAAATGTAATGCCTCCACCCGCCAATCATAATGTGTCCTGTTTCCTAGAATTAAAAGCTAAACCTCCAGTCACATCTAAAAGTTTATTGCCTTTGATAAATGAATGTAGTGGTTATGGATTCCCAGGTTGTCAGGACATTGTAAGGATCTGTCTCCTAGACTGGAAGGCTCCAAGAGCAGGCCAGCTCATTCCATGCAGAACTGCGAGGCCAGGTTGGCACTGCCAGTTAGCTGGAGGTGAGAGGTGTCAGTGGGATTATGGACATGCCTTCACGGGCATAGTGACCCAGGTATCTTAATAAGTTTACATTCATGTCTCATTCGTGTTTATAATCACACACACATAAGGAGAGCAATAATGTTTGCATGTATATTTTACCTGTTTTTTTCTTATGCCATTTAAAATGAAATCTTTAAAAAAATTAATTTTCTTTCATGAAACCTATAAAAATATACCATAATTTTTAAATTTATTTTTTATCTTTGATATTATAAAATAATTACATCATTTTCCCTTCCTGCCAAACTCTCCAATATACTCCTTCTTGATCTCTTTGAAGTTCATGGCCTCTTTTTTCGTTAATTGTCATGACATTCCTAAATATAACCTTCTCAGTCTGTATTTCGTTTGTATGTATGAGCTGAGGGCTGACCATTTAGTATTGGATAATTGGTCTGCTCTTCCTTGGGGAAGACTTTCTCCCACTTTCAGCATTCCTTAGTTGACTGCAGTTCTTTATCTACAGTTGACACCTGTGGTCTTTCCCTCACCCACTTTGCCATGTCTGTTGTCCCTTTTTATCTCATGTTTAGGCAGTCATGGTGGTGAGATGTTATGGTGTAACTTCTGCCAGTCACTAGGATATAATCTCATAGCAGACTTCCTCCTCCTCTGGTAGTTGTGATCTTTCTACTCCTCTTGTACAATGCTTTTCAATTCTTCTAATACAGTTTATTTGTTCATTCATTCATTCATTCATTCATTCATTCACTTTATACCCTCATCTTAGCCCCTTCCCTTCTATCCTCCCGGACCCACCTTCCCTCTCTCTTCCCTCATCCTCCCTCCCATGTTCCTCAGAAAAGGGGAGTCCAGCTCATCAAGTCTCATCAGTAGTGAGCACATCCTCCTCCCCTATGGCCTGGCAAGGCAGCTCCGCCAGGGGGGAATGATTAGAAAGTAGACAACAGAGTTCATGTCAGAGTCAGCCCTGCCTCCCCTTACTAGGGAACCCACATGAAGCCTGAGCTGCCCATCTGCTACATCTGTGTAGGGGTCTTTGATCCAGTCCATGCATGGTTCTTGGTTGGTGCTTCAGCCTCAGCAAGCTCCTCTGGACCCTTCTTGTGGAGCACCTGTCACCTCCAGATCCTTCCAATCTCTCTCCCCTTTTCCATAAGACTCCCTACACTTCACCCAATGTTTGGCTATGAGTCTCTGCATCTATTTGGGTCCACTGTTGGGCGTAGCCTCTCAGAGGACAGCTATGCTAGGCTACAATTCTTTTATAATGTTCTCTTAATCCTTAGGTGCAGGAATGTTTTGTAGATGTATCCATTGAAACTGGTCTCCACAATTCTTGCATTTTGATTGGTTGTAGTTTTGTGGAGTGGGTTTTGTCTGTCTGAAGTTTTTTTTGGTAAGGAATGGAGACTACACTCATCTGTGGGTATTAAGACAACTGGTTAGATTGTTGCTAGGGATCATACCGGCTTAGTAAAGTGTAGGTTCTCTTCTCTGAGTAGTTCACTAGTTTCCCTCTTGCTGAGCAGCTCTTGTCTAATTTGAGAGCTGCTGGTTACTACCAGCCTATGTGTGCCACGATAACCATGAAGTTGTCATGATGCTGGACATTGCTGTGTTCATAAGTGTCATGGCCATGTAGGACTGATGGTGGCCTCCCTCCTTTGGATGCTTGCATGGGGCTTTCTGGTAGCTTGAAAGCTCATCTTCAGGAAGAGGCATTCAGGCCAGTTCCAGCTCAGATGTCTCTGGGCATCTGAACTGTGTGGTGGAATTTCCTTCCACCTCTGGGGGTAGCAAACCAAGAGCAATAGAAACAGGCTGTATGTTTGAGGAGTCTCTTGGACAGCCCTGGCTAACTCAAAAGAAGTGCATCTCACATATTAGGGTTTTTGTTGGGTGGTGTTTGGTTCTTGGAGGAAACATTATCAGCCTGATGAGTAAGGTTCATTGAAACTTTGTATGCATATTTATACAAAGAATTGCATGTATTATAGGGTTTTTAAAGTAAATAGTTAATAGTATGATTCCTTGTGACCTCCTCAAACATACTTACTGTTTTTCTGAGTATTAAGATGAACATGTGATTTTTGTCTTTAAGTACATTTCCCTATTTAGTTTTGTTACATTTATGAACTAGCATATCTCTGCATTTTATAGATAAAGCCACCTTAGTCATGGTATATGATTTTTTTATATATGCCTGTATTTTGTTTGTATTTATCGAACATTTTTGAGACTGTTTACCATTGCCATTGTCATTTTCATTTCTTGTTGTGTCTTTACCTGGTTTAAGCATTACCATGATACTGGCTCTGTAGAAAGAGATTGGGACTACTCTTGATTCTGTATTTTTGTATGTTTGTTTTGTTTTGCTTGTTCATTTGCTTTTTTTTTTTTTTTAATATTTTAAGAAGTACTGGGTGGGTGGGTAGTAGCGGCACACGCCTTTAATGCCAGCATGCCAGTAAGGAGGCAAAAGCAGGTAGATGTCTGTGAGTTTGATGCCAGCCTGGTCTACAGAGTGAGTTCTAGGACAGCCAGGGCTACACAGAGAAAGCCTGTCTCAAAAAGTAAAAAAAAAAAAAAAAAAAAAAAAAATGGAAGAAGGGAGGGGGGTGTGATAGAGGGACTGGCTGTAGGTCCTCCTTGAAAATCTGATCTGGTCGATTCTGCTGGGAATCTGTCTAGCCTTGACTTACGTAGCTGGAGGCTTTTAAATATTATTTTAATCTCCTCATTAGTTATGTGTCTGCTTAGATTGTGATTTCTTGGTTTAATTTTGGTGGTTTGGCTGGATATAGAAATTTATTTCTTTTAGATTTTTCATCTACTGGAGTACAGGTTTTTAAAGTATTCTCTTACAATATTCTGAATTTCCTTGGTGTCTGCTGTAATGCTTTTCTGTTCCCTTCTGATTCTGTGTCTTTATTTTGGTTAGTTGGACCAAATGTCTGCTAATCTTGTTTATCTTTGCAAAGAACCAGATCCGAAATTCATTCATCGATTCTTTGCATTGTTTTCTTGTTTCAATTTTATTAATTTCTGCTCTGCTTTTTATTGTTTCATGCTCTCCACTAGGTTTGGATTTTTTTCAAAATTTTGACTTGTATCATCAAGCCATTTTTTGTGCTTTTTCATTTTGTTTGTTGTTTTGTTTTGTTTTAATGTAGGCACTTAGAGCTACAAATACCCTTATCGGACTGTTTTCAATGGTTTTGTTGTGTTGTGTTTTCATTTTCACTTAGTTCCAGGAAAAATTTTATTTCTTTCTTGATTTCCTTGACCCATTCATCATTCAGTAATGAACTGTTTAATCTCTAAGAGTTTGTGTATTTACTAGAGATGTTTTTGCTCTCCAGTTCGCTCTTCCCAAGGCACATGATTCTACCAGGGTCCACCCACAGAACACTAATGGCCATAAGGGCCAGACCTAGCCCCTTGAAATGCAGGTTGTCAAGCTCTGTCCTACAGAGTAAAAAGCCCAAAATCGAGCCACAAAATTCCACCAATCCCTGTGCTTGCCCCAAGAGAAGGCCACAAAATCTCACCAATTCCAGGCCACCCAGGAAACCCTATACAAGCCTACCTCTAGCTCAGTTCTTTGCTGCTTTTCTACCAAGCAGAGGCTCTTGTGTCTTTCCTGATAAATCTCTTGTGTGAGGTTTGTTGTGCAGTGTGACTCTGTGGTATTGCTTGACTCAGAACTCCTAGGAGACCGCCCCATCCCCACCCCCAGAGCTGTAGTGCCAGCAGAGTTCAAGTTTTCTTACTTTGTCTTCAGATGGGGTAGAACCAAGTTGTTTCAGTCTTTTTGATTTTTTAAAAATGTATTTTGTGCTCTAGGATGTGGTCTGTTTTAGAAAAGATTTTGTGTACTACTGAGCAAAATGTGGATTCTTTGGATTTTGGGTGGAATGTTTCATAGATATCTCTTAGGTCCATTTAATGCATGATGTCTAATAATTCTTTCTCTATTTTTGGTCCAGATAACCTATCTATTAGAAAATTGAAATCACCTAGTGTAATGAGCTGATGTTAATCTGTGTCTTTAAATTCAGTAGTAATTTTTTTTTTTTTAGTTTTTTGGAGACAGTTTGTCCATGTTGCCCTGGCTGTCTTAGACTCACTTATAGGCCAGGCTGGCCTTGAACTCAGAGATCCACCTGCCTCTGATTCCTTGAGTGCTGGGATGTGCCACCACAACTGGCTAGTAGTTCATTTTAAATGAAATTAGTACCACAGTTTGGTGTATATATATTTAAGATAATAACATCTCATTGGTTAACTCCTCCATTGATTAGAATGAATTGATCCGCTTTATCTTCTCTGAAAAGTTTTAGTTTGAAGACTATTTTGTCAGATATTTGGATAGTGGTGCCTGCTTCCAGCCTGTCCACGTGAGATTGGAGTACTTGTGTCCATTTTTTACTGTAAAGCTGTAACTATCTTTAAAGCTATGTTTCTTGTAGATAACAGATAGATGGATTTTCTTGATCCCTTCAATCAGCCTGTGACTTTTGAGTGGAAAATTCATGTCATTGATATTAAAGTTGTTGAAAGATGTGTGTTAATTGTCTTCTTCATGTTGATGATTTTTGGTAGTCTTGTTTGTATTCTCATTGGTATTTTGTGTTTTACTAGTTATGGCTTTATATTTCTTTTCACTGTCCCTTGACATTCTCCTTAGTTC